CAGAGCCAAACAGCAGAGCATTCTTCCGGCCCTTCTCTTCCTCCTCCTCCTCACGTCTCCTCGCTCTCTTCAGCTCCTCTTGGCGATCAGTATCCAGCTCCCCAATGTTGTCCTGGTCACAAACACACATACAAACACATTTTAAGACACACGCATTATAGGTATGTAGATCTAAGCTCAGATACACACAGACATGTCGACAGGTAAACAGTAACTTAGATATGTAAACACACAGATATACAAATACTCTACATCAACAAACTGGCCTTTCAAGGTTTGGACATACCAAAAACAGGAGATTTAAAGTGGTAATACTTAAAAATATTTTAATTTAAGTGCTACATTTCGGGGGCAAACTTATTTTCTGCTAATAAATGAGGTTTTTATGAGTGTGCTTTTTCCTTCTGCCATAGTGGCTATCACTTTTTGTATGAGAGGTGTGGACTTGAGTCTCATGACTTGAGGCTTCAGTCACATGTTGTACTGGAGTATAAATATTTTATAAACACCACACAAAAGTGCCCACACATTCAACCACGCAGTACCTCCAGCAACTTCTTCGCATCCTGCAGGAGGTTGAGACAGTATTTGATCCAACATCTCGCAATCTCTGCCCTCTTCTGTCTGAGCTGTTCCCTGCGCTCACTCTCTGTCTCACCTGGGTCGGACAGAAGGAGAAGATGTTAAGATATGTAACGATGAAGTGAGAGGCAGTCAGGAGGAAGAAGCAAAATGGAGGTAGGGTTTGCCACACAAGTGAAGAAATGCTTTGCAACACAGCTCTTTCCTGTCTGACTCAACTGCACTTGACTACAGCTGCAGGATACACAGGAAATAAGCAAATACATATATGCTTTTTTTATGCATATAAATGAAAGGTTTGGATAGATACTTACTCTCCTGTGCTGCGGCCTCAGAAGGAACCTCTCCTGCCAAACCTGATATGACAGTAGCTGCTGAGAGGCAATGTCTGCCTTCCATGTATCGGCCCTGGAATCATTAAATGGACCTCCCATTACTTACACTAAAAACAATCTATTGTGACAGCACTAGCGAACACTTGGAGCAGCTCTAACACAATGTATCATTATTACAATCAAAATTCTTTTCATGTTATCAAACTGATTTGACTTCATGTCAAAAATTTTAATCACAAGTCAAACATTTCCAGATCGGTGAAAATGTGTAAAAAGCAAAGCAAAACAGATGCAAAATTATTTTAGATTAGAGGTTTTGAATCAATTGTTTCCAATCAATTTAAATACATTTTTAAACTACCTTAGTGATGTAATACTGTGATAGTGTAGCAGCGTTGAGAGCCCACTCCATTGGACTGAACTGATTTAACTGCAATTGTCTCTGCAGGGTAGTGTGGCAGTAGGTGGCAGCACGCTCAGTCTCACCTGGGAGACAAAACACTAAAGTTAATATGACTATCATCAAATAGAGCAGAACATGAACATACTAAGACTCCAGCTTCATTATATTCACATAGATAAATATGAATTTGTAAATGTCAATAGATATTATGCAACTTCAAGAGACTCCTCATTAGATTAAAGTGGATGTTAAAGGATCAAAGATACATTTAATACATTTTTAAGTTTCTAATTTACACAAACCACTAAATGTATACTGAATACTGTTCTACTTATTTGACTGAAACAAGATCAGACTCACCAAGGTTTTTATAGACTTGGGCAAGATAGTACATGGTATGAGTATAAGCCAACTCAAACCTGAGAAAGGAAAATTGGAGAAAGTCAAAGGGAGAATGGGTAAATGGAAGGGCAGAATATAGCAGAGAAACATAAAACTAAAGCCAGAGTTTGCTGCATGAATAACCACTATCATGCAAACTTTGGGACAAAATAAACATGTAGTAAGTCTGTAATTGTACGTGTGAGTTCGTGTGGCCTCTGTATGAATGTCTGGAGTTACCTCTTGGTCCTGTCCTGATGTGTGAGCAGCTTCTCCTCAGTAGTAAAGTAGTCTGTCATATCAGTGGGAGGACTCCCATCCTGAAAAAGACAGAGAAGAAAACACATCAACTGTGGCTGCTGATAAAAAGGATTTGACCCTTGTAATGTTCAACTGCAGCCATGCTGGTTCCACAATCTCGCTGCAAGAAGCTAATACGTCTCTGTTCAATTTGTAATTCTCTTTTGAGTGCTGGCGTCAACAAGTTACAGTGACTGACACACATTTTGAGCAACACTGCATGCAAAACTGCTACCATTGTTGCTGTCTAATGCACTGTATTCACACTAATTTGAGAGTTGGGATACGTTTTAAGGATAATGTGGCAACCTAAATAATGCAGAAAAATGCAATGTCCACAGCATGTACGTGACTTTCTGTATTAAATACACAACAATGCAACGTTCTGCCTTGGCTCCTGACAGACAGGTGAATTATCTCTCACTAATCTGTCTCCCACATCACCATGGTGTACCCTGTCAAGTGTTTATCATGAGTCATACGATGGACTAGCTGGGAGACAATAGATAACAACTGTATTCTCATTCCTCCTGTAGCTAACCAAATCAATGCACCAGCAGCTTCAGTGACACAGGAAAGCGACCTTACCTCCTTCATATAACGCTGGTAGATGTATTCTGCTGTTTCAAGGAATCCCTGAGCTGTCTCCGTCTCATCGCGGCCTGCCCAAAGGATGCCCAACTGGTTCTACATAACACAAATTGATTTGGATAAGCAAGAACTTACTCTGTTTACAAGGCTTTTTAAAATCACCCTGATGGATCTGATGGACTGTGATTCGTGTGAATAACTACGATAAAGCATAAATAGTTTGATATGTGCGAAGAAGGGGAGTGGTGGTACTAGCTGTGGTAAACACAGGCCCAGACCGCTCCAAGAAATGGCGTTATTGATGATGCCATTGCCAATTTAATTAGGGGTTTAACACTATTATACTCAATTGGTTCGTGGTGGTTGATTCGTAGTATGTTTTTAAACATTATTTTTTTATTTAGAAATGCTGGTTGGGCTTAATGTTGGCTATAGTGAGCATGGCTGTTTGTATACAACTTGTGCTAATGTCTGGGGACAGTGACAGCCTGGTTATGAAGGTCAGTCAGTCAGCGTTATAGCATTATTGGGGTAACAGACAGACAGACAGACAGATACCCTGGCATGGATGAACAGCGACACATTCTCGGATGACACTCTGCATCTCTCCAGCAGTTTCATGCAGTTCATCAGATGCTCCTGCCCGGCTGACAGCTCCTCTGTGTCGATATGGTTGACGCCCAGATAGTACTCAATGGCCCCGAGTTTAGCGACCCGCAGCCCGGCTGGCGAGTCGCCGCTGAAGCCCTGCCCGAACACATCCTCCCTCTGCCCGTCCACTGGCGGCTCTGTGGGCCGCTGGTCGCCGCTCTCTCCGCCGCTATCCTCTTCACCGTCGACATCCTCTTCACCGTCGACGGCCTCGAAATTCTTCAGCGAGCAGTATATCTCTCTGAGAAGCTCCCTGGCCTTGTATTTGGACCGGAACGGGTCGTTTTCTGGGTCATTTCGTGATTCAGTAAGGGTTTGGGCGTTGGTGAATTTGTCGCAGATAGCTCTCCAAACATCACTGCCGAGGGACGCCATGTTGGTCTTCTTCTTCTTCGTCGTGGCGACTGCAGCTGTCTTTGTTTTACTGCCATCTGCTGGAATTAGGTGGGTTATCTCCTCACATGTCAAAGTGTCTCCAGCTCTGCTATTCTCACAAAAACCAGACAACCATTTATTGCCCAGTAAGTCAGTATCAGTCCATCTTATTTACTTGAACCTTTGTGTGTCCCCAAGGTATCAGTTATAAATAAATAAATTCACTACTCACTAGTATTGTAGCTCACTAATGTACAATTTTTAAGGTACTTGAGTATTTCCATATTTTGCAACCTTACTGTATTACGCTACAGTTCAAATAATATACATCTTACTCAACTACATATCTCTGACAGTAACAGTATAGTCAGTGGCTACTTGTAAACGAACATCTTCAGTTTATAAATTATAATGCATTGTAATTGATTAAACTATCCTTATTGAAAAGATGTGTTTGGTGTTTATTTAACAAGGACATTGGGTTGCAGAGCCAAGTGTTAAATACAGAGGTGGCCTCCTTGACATTACCTTGGTGAACTATCTGACATTGTAAAGGTTACCTGGTCCAAACAATGACCATGGAACAAGACTTAAGAGACAAACAGGAATCAAATTAAAACTCAACTTAATGAAAAACAATAACTCACTCTGAACTGTGTTTAAGTTCATTATATCCAGTTTATTTTCACAAACCCAGAGGATCAAATCATTAATCAGGGAAAAGTAATGTGGATTATACAATGTCAATAAATTAATGTGAATGACATATGACAAAAACTCACAGTACATGTTTGGTCAGCACTGACAGAAGCAGCTTGTCTTGTACAATATGCTCTCATTCTGATTGTACAGCTGTACAGTGTGGGCAGCTTCACCACATAAAAAAAGACAAATGTATTTATTTTGTGTGAGTTAAACATGTTTAAATAATCATCATTCATTATGCTGTAAAACCATGTCAAATTGCATAACTTGCTCCACAGCATAACAAACTAAAAGCTTTGCTCTGTATGTGTGTGTCCTCTATGTTTAAGCAACGGTTAATGAGTGAAAGTCCATATGCTAGGCCGGTGATAATTTGCCATGCTGTGGACATACTAGCACAAATGGACCTCAGGCTAAGTTCTCTATGAAATACCATTAATATTTCAATTACCAAGCAGAAAAGAAGGTAATAAAAATATTAATGCTGATGACCTGAAGTTAGATGATTAGTAAATAAGGAATTATTCATCCTAGTTTCAAAGTGTGCAACAGCCAAAGGATCCAGTGTGCAACGCATATAACCTTCAGGCTTGTAAGCTGAGTGTACATTCACCCACATTATATTTTTGTGTGGCATGTTGAATGTTGCAAACATCTCAAAATAAATTACAGCAGTTGACCTTCATTCTTGGAGGAAACTATCTGCACTGTTCTGTTTGTGTAGTAAAAAGGAAATAAAACTTCATAATGGTGAACTGTCAGGTTAAAAAATGGTGCCACGGTTTTAATCATCAATTAAGATGTTTAGATGTATGGGTTTTGATGTGCAGGTTTAGGAGTCCGCTGAAGCTGCATGGTGCCACTCTGCCACTAGGATTTTATCTTCTTCTCCATGCTGAAATGATATACAAACAGTCAGTGTGCATACAATTCTGTTAATTATCCTAAATCTCCCTATCATATCACGTTCTGAAGGCATGCTACTCTGAGTTTCCCTTTAAGAATATTGCTCTTAAGTTTAGTCATTGATGAAATGTTGATCTGGGTCAAAAGTCATGGTGGTCAACATGAAGACCAGGTTGAAAATAATATTTTTGGTCATTATTGTAATCACAAATAACATGCAAAAACAAAAAAGGAAGACCTGTTTTAAAAGTTAATGACAAAGCAAATGGTATAATAGTAGCCTATTAAGCCACCTACATAACATCACAAATATTCCTTAAGCCTTGCAAAGAACATGCAGTAGAATTATATTTTGATTACTCTGTTCATTATGACAACAGGGGAAAAAAATGAATAAAATGTTGCTTACTTGTATTTGATGAGACGCCCTCCCTGGATTAGCTGCGCTGTCTCATTGGTCAAATGGCAAGCAAACAGTAGCCAGTTGCGTGGCTGCACCTTGTAAGCGAACCTCATGAAGAGCAGTGAATAGCAGGAAAGAGCTGAGAGGAGGGAGAAAACACATAGGCAATATTTTATTACAGCAGTGTCTTCTCATTAACCGCTTACTGCTGGACACTTCTTATTCTGCTCCAAACATGCAACATAATGTCACCTAACTTAATTTCACACAAGAAAATAGATTATAGACTAACAAAGTCTATCTATCAGTACAAATGTTTCATATATGGCTATTAGGAGAAGGAGAAAAAGGGACGGCGCAGTTGTAGTTTACTTTAAATAATCTCTTATTTCCCATTAACCTTGAAAGTAAAAATTATAATTATAAACCTAACCCTTGTGCCCTGCATGTGTACATCTGGGTCAGATCAGATCAGCACACGTGTCTCTGTGTGTGTGTATTACCGAAGGTCATCCTGCCACTGATGATCTCAGGGCTCTTCTTCATATCTGCGAGGGCGGCTATAGGAAGACCCCAGTTTGCCACAGGACCCCAGAAATGCTGACACATACACACAAAGTGACAAAATATAGTTTATTAGTATTGTGAGTTCCAAAATAAAGGATAGCCAACACACGCTCTGTGGCAAATAATTGGTATGACTATATTGTACAGCACAAACGTTCAAAGACAAACAAGCAGAGAGACACAGACAGAAACAGAAACACTGACAGACAGATGGATAGGTACTTACCGTGCTGTTGAATGTTTCCAGGGGCACATAGAAGAGAGGAGAACATCAATACAGATAAGTTAGACTGATATGAGCTAGGTCACGATAGTTACTGCAACCTAAAATACTTCATGTGGTTGTTTCAGGCAATTCACAAATGACGAGAGGACTAGTACAATTTTAAGAACCCAGGAATCCACATTGCTTAATTAGGTTATAATAAATAAGGTCACATTTCAGTACCTCGATGAAAACATTTGACTACACTTAAGGTGTAGTCAAATGTGTCTTTTCTACGAACAGACTCTTGTTTTGTCAGAAAGCCAAAGACACACCAGAAATGGTGCAAACGGTAAGATAAACCATTATAATGTGTGCCTCAGCCACATCTACAGGGCCTTTGTTTGACTTTCACTTGAATTTCAGAACATTACAGATCATAGCTCCTCAAAAATCGCTATCTGTGACAAATGTAAACAAAGATGGCCTCTTGCATCACTGTGTTATAATTCAGCCTTTGCTCTAAATGTTAAGCATGCAGCCAGTTTGTTGCAAGTACACACACCACCAGAGCATTGTGTACACACTAAACTAAGTTAAGTCCTGACACCTTGTCAGAAAGTAATGAAAGCAGTTCTCTCTGTTTGTCTTTGTCTCTAAAGCCACATTAGAGGCAAAGTAGCTCCATGCAAGTAAATTAGAGCCTCTTACAAGTTATGACCCGCGTAGGCTTACGTGTTGTTTTCTGTGTTTCTACAGCAACTCACAACATATCCCTCCAACGGGACTATAGTTTAGTTTGGATAATGTTTTACAAACACTCTTCCCTCCAATTACAGCCAGACTCTTGAAGTGCTACCGACGAGGGCTACAGAAAGCACAGTCGTCCTTGAAAACTAGCTTTAGCAGAGAAGAACAACGCCAATGCTACAGACAGTAACACACAAATTGTTATACATGTACCGAGGGATTTTATTTTACAACCCTGGTTGGACAGATCAGGGCGTTAAAAGCAGCCGGCGGGTCAATGTTATCTAACCTAATGACTCGACTAGCTAGCTACTTTAGCATACGAGCTAACAGATTATAATATAGCTAGTAGCTTCCTCCACATACCTCATCAAATATTCCCTGAACTCTTTGCTCTTCAGGTGGTCAATAGCTTTCCGTGCAATTGTCCCTGCCATGGTTTAACGATAGGGTGGACTCGTGGGGTCTGTTCTGGCCGAGGAAAGCACTGTTTCGGTGTTGAAGGGCGACTGACAGCTTCGCTCCGAGGACGACTGGTCACAACATTGGCGCTTTACGACACTGTCGCAACTACAGCGCAACCTCAGACGGCCGCCTGTCTAGGTTGCGAAATTAGGTTAAAACTATTACTACTGTAGGAAACATTAAATAGATAAGAGTCATGAATCTGTTAAGCAGGTGTGAATAAAGGTGCCCATGTTGCTACTGAATCCCTGCTTCAAAGAGAGAAGTACAACAACACAAAAACACAACAAAACGTCGTGCAAACTCTGTATAGATAGATAGATAAATAGATAGATGATAGATAGATAATAGATAGATAG